AAAAAAAACCTGTCTCTTTCAGCGTCCCTACAAAAAGCCACGTTCCGCTAACTTGTTTTCATGTTTTTTTTCAGTGATTTGTTGAGGTCGAATGCAAAAATATCTCTCCCATTGAAGGATTTTACAGGATTTGTACTTACACTGAACATATGTTTTGCCCACAAATTCACTCTTCTTCGCCAAAAACATTGCTACTAATAACTGTTAAACTATTATTTAAATTTTTTTATTACTTATAACTTAATTTCTCATTAATTCGATTCTCTACGCCAATGCTCCATTTGGATATCAAGTCACTGCGTGTTGTCGTAAGTTCAAATGCCACAAAGTTTTCTTTTTTCCGTAGGTTGAAAATGCTTCAGCCTCATGAGAGTTTATTTCCAGGTATTCAGTTGCTATAGTACATGTTCAAATAACCTTTGGATTTTTCTATTCTATTTAAAAGTTTTTTTAAGCAGATTGGTTCTCAAAAACAATCAAAACAAAATATTCTGCTGTCGAATTTGTTGATGGCAAACATTGCTGGATAAAATGAATTTATATTTTATCATTATGAACTCTCTCAGTCTGTAATTTTCAAAATTCATTTGCATATATTATTTTTGCTTTTCATTGATAGTTCTATTAGTAAATTGAAAAAAAAGTGTGGAAAATTCACAGCATTGCATACATATTTCATACAAAGCAGTTCCTTTCCCACTAAAAATGGAAATCACTATATATTATGCAATATCTCCAGTTTATGATTTCACCTTCCATCCTTTAAACTAACATTGAAAAAAGGTTTACACTTGATATTACAATGCATTCAGCATCGGTTTTCATACCTTGTACAGTAGTAAGCTGAATACTTTTAAATGTCTTTAAACAACAATTTTTTGTACATATTCAAACATGCAAACAGCTACAACAATTTGTAAAAAGTGATAATTCGTGAACTTTTCGTTTATACTTTTTCAATCTTTTGCATCTGCCTATAAACTGCAGGGCCGAGTATACAGTGAACAGCATATATTACAAAAAGAACAGGACAGTTTTTTCTACAATATTTTGCTTGAAAATAAAGCAAATCTCAATAAGCGATCTCACCATCCATGGGTGGTGGAAACTGCCATTCAATAAAGATCGAACTGGAGGCCTCATCGAAACGTGCATGTAAATCCTTGATATTGTAAACTGGTACAGAATAACAAGTAGAAAATATTACGAAAAGTAGTAAAAATGGGTAGAATAGGTTCATAGTGGACAGCATATTTCTACAGTGCCACTCACCACGCTTATCGCCAAGTGTGATGGCTTCGAAGCAGCTGGTCGAGCGATTGGCGATTTGGCACAACAGAGTACGCCCTAGCCAGTGTGGGACAATGTAATGCAAGCTGTTTGAGTTGTAATGTCCTATTGGCATTAGGGTAAATAGTTCGTTCTGAGTTCTGCAGCGGCAACACATGATTAATATCAAGAGGAGCCTGACGAAAGACAGCTGAACATGTCTTCATGCAATTGGGACATCAGCTGGCTTTATGCTTGGGCCGCTGACTCTTCTAAAACAATAACTCCTAAGAAATTTTCTTGTTCTTTATGATTTATGTAATTGCAATTTTTAATAAGACATCTTTCAAGATCTCATCTCATCGTGGACTTTTTTGAAAAAAATCAGCTTTGGTAGTTTTCTGGCAATAAATAAATATAT